CCTCCAAGTAAACCCTCAACCCTAAAGCGCTTCTGTATTACTCCTCTACTCTCGGAGCTCTCTCCCCTGTCCAGTCTGACAAACGTATCCGGGGCGTCATCCACTCTTGGATCGCAGAGAAAGGATGGGGCCACGCGGCTACAGGGTTTAGGGTTTGGGGCTTTAGGGCTTAGGGTTTAGGGGTGTAGATTCCAGTTGTGGGGCTTGAAACCTCAAAAATCACATCGCGATGATTCCAAGAGTTTCTTGAAATCTGGTCGATGGTACCCTAAACCCTGAACCCTAAACCCTAAACTCTGGCCCTTGCAGCGTTCTGTGCCTGTGAGCTGCAAGGTTTCGCCACCATTCCAGGTGCGGGGAAACACCGGGTTTCGGGTTTAGGGTTTAGGGGCGGTCTGTGCAACTGGATTCGTTCTGCATCTCTGCCTACTATAGGGGCCTTAATAATCAGAATAGGGTTGCGGGGGTTCCTGATATAATATACCCCGAAAACCCTCTTCTAGTTATGAAGGTCCCTATATTAGACTCCACAGCTCGAGGCCCAAGGATACGAAAAGCAGGGGACCCCCAAAAGCACCCAACAGCATCTTTGCGAAGAGCAGCATCTTGAATATGTCTGAATAACTGCGGCACAAACCCTACTGCAAGCTATCGGGATCGAACATCTGAAATGTCTGGCTTGATGTGCATGGGCCTGCGGGTTTGACTACCCGTAGGCCCCATAGTAGTTCCTTTTTGGGGTTCATATTTAGAATCCTATAAGGCAACCCCCAAAAGGAACTACTATGGGGCCTAGGGTAGGCTCTGGATCATCTCCACCTGCCAACCATAAAGCTTCAAAGTCTGAAACTTGTCGGTTCAAAGCCCCTAAAACACGAGTCAAAAAAAACCTAAAATTCGGCGCAGGCTGCACTGACATCTTCGTGCATTCTCACCATTGCGTGGGCGGCCTGCCCGGCAGCATTTGTCTCATCTTGTGCGGTTTTTGTGTGCGGAGATTGCCCAAGGTACTTTGGAGATCAACTGGCTCTCTGTAGAGTTTCACAGGAGTTTGAAAGCGCCACACTCGCTGCACTAAGGGGTGCGTCTGTGTGCAGCCAGTCAATATGCATACATACATGAAGTCATATCCATAGATCTATACATCTATATATATATATAGATATACTTCTGTGTATATGCATATGTATATATATATATATATATATGTATCTCTCTCTCTCCCTCTCTCTCTCTCTTTCTTTCTCTCTCTCTCTCTCTTTCCTCCCTCTCTGTCCCTCCCTGTTATAGGGTTTCAGTATGTTTCACTGTTGCGGCAGCAAGCCAGTCAAACCACAGCCGAGCAGACTGGGCACTGCGAGCTTGCCCGTAATGCTTCACCCGAAGGTATTGAACCCAGAGTAATGTACTGTAGGGGACGTAATGGTTTCAATAGGGTTTTGGGGGTTCCTTATTATTCTTATACCAAAACCCTATTCTAAGTAGTGGGGCCCCCCAATTTAAATCCTTGTTACTGTTCGTTTAATGCACATGTATGTACAAATTCATCCTGCGTCGCCTCCAACTCGCTCAGCAAAGCTTCTAAACCCTTGAACCCTAGGCCCCGAAACTCTCTAACCGACTCGAACCTTAAACCCTGAACGCTGAACCCTAAGCCCTAAACCCTAAACCCCAAACCCTAAACTCTACACCCTTCCCTTTCATCGCCAGGATTCGTCCCCACCCAGGGGGACGTTCTTGAGTTCGAGCTTGAGCGCGGGAAGCCTGGGTCTCAGTTGCATCTCCACCCGAATGTTAGGGCCTAAATAGTTACCTATACTATTGTGGGGGCTCCGTTTTATAGGTATAGCATAACTAATATACACCAAAACCTATTCTAACTATTTAGGCTTCTACATTAGTCTCCTAGCTTGTAACGCACATGATTCCCATGATTGCCTATAGTAGTCATGAACTCCATACACTAAAACATATGTGTGTATGCATGCATAACTACTTGCGTGCATGCATGCAAACCCTAAACCCTAAACCCTAAACCCTAGACCCTGAACCCCAAACCCTCAACCCTAAACCGTCATGCATGATTACAGCGATGCAGAGGCGCTGAAAGGACGTCGAGTCCGACCGACAAGCGTGTTTATGGTCAAGAAAAGCCGGGATAATTACCAATGCTGTTCTTTCGAGCTCCTATGAGACACTCCCGGCAATATTGAGTCGTGGCTGTCCAGCGTTTTTGGTTGAGAGCTTTCAGCCTCAAGGTTTTAAGGCTCGGGGTGATGGTCTAGGGTTTCTATTCACCAATTATGGGTTCATGGTTTCCAATTTGCAACATAGAAGCTGCAGTCCCTATCCCCAAGCCTCAGTCTAGCTGTGCTTTGCCCTGAAGCCCGAAGAAGGCAATCTTTCACTCTCCCGTTAGGGTTTGCTTTGGGGATCATGGGACTTAGCAAGTAAGGTTATAAGTACCCTAATTGGGGTTATAGTTATGGTTACCTTACTTAAAACCCTAGCTACTAAGTCCCATGATCCTCCAAGTAAAGTTTAGGGTACTCTCCAGCCGAGGAAGAAAGACGGGACACCCTCCTTCACCGCCATCAATGTGTCGCCAGCATCGGACAAGACGGTGGCTGGGCACAGTTGCCGCAGCTTTGAGCTGTGTGATACTTTTGCTGATATATAAATCCCTGCCGTACCTTAAGGACCCTGAACTATGGGAATATGGTATATTCCTTATTATTATGGGTAATGCAGGATTTGCATCATCAACCGTAGGCTTTGTTTAGGGCTTGAGGCTATTGGGATCATAGGGTGTCGAGTGCCCCAAACCCCAAACCCCGAAATCTCAAACCCCAGTGACCATAAATACTACCCTACAAACCCGTCATGCTTTTGAAATCGCAGACCCTGACATGCGCAGACCCCCTAACCCTTATAGGACTCTCAGATAACCTTAGAGACTGTTGTGAGAATCCCAACCCTGTGTCAGTGTAAACCCAAACAGAGCCTTTGGGGAACACCAAACCCCCAAAGGCCCAAAACCCTACTAAGCCCCAAACCTCCCGAAGTGCCTTCAACCCTAAACCCGCTCTTAGCACGTGATGCCCTTATCTTTTATAAAGCTTTGCAAGAGTGTTGTAAAGCCCTTCTTCCAGTTGCTATGACAGCCCAAATCTATGAACCCTTTGAGCATGCCAGGAAGTAATGAGAATCGGAAGCCTCATATTGTATTAAACCCTAAACCCTGAACCCCT